GGGGTGGGGGTGGCGGAGGCAGTGAGCTGGCTGGGGACGCGTACTAGCCCGTGCGTGCGTGCGGTGCGGGGACGGACGGAGGCGGGGATTTTGCGGTGGGGTGAGTGACTGGCCGCGGGGCCCGCGGCGTCAGTGCACGTTATGGCGTCGCGGCGGGGGCCGCGTGGCTGGCCCGCGTTTGAAATTTCGGGAGACGGGGGCGTGACGCGGCGACGGTTTCGGTCAGCCCAGCCCGCCCGCCCGGTCTGGTCCCGGTCCCGGTCCCGGTCGAGCGGGGCGTCGCGTGACCGTGACTGTGACTGTGTGTGTGATCGGGTGATCGTACTCGGGCGTCGTTTGTTCCTTCTGTCACTAGCAGCGCTGCGCCTTACGTGAGGCCGTGGAAGAAGTTACGCCGTGGTACGGGGCAGAAGCAGGGTTCTCGTGAATTAAAATGAAGGCCCCGTTCGGTTCAAAGGAACACGAAACACAAGAGCAAGAGAAAACGTAGGAACCAAAAACAAAAAGGAACGCATGTGCAAGACGGCGGAACAAAAAACACAGGGAAATTCTTAGGGCCTCTGTGATTCATGGGATTTTGAAAACGCGAGGATAGAAAAAGTATAGGGCTGAAGTGGCATGTCCACTTGAATTCTATAGGATTGACAATGAGTGTGTTGATGTCACAGAAAACACAAAGAAATTGTGAAAAGAGGTTGGAGTGGATGTTAGATTTCCTACCAAATGTAGTACAAAAGATTTCATAGGAAAAATTCGTATTAGATCTAATCATGTGGATCAAAGGACCAATATAGCAAAAAAAAATTCTAAGGATTTCAATCCTTCAAAAATCCTATAAAAATCCTTTGAATCAAAAGAGCCCTTAGAGCATCGTAAAAACCATGGGGCAGCACAGCATTGTGCAAACAGTAGTATTCGGCCTTTTTTTTTAAATGAAGCAACGCAGCTTTATCTCTATCTCTCACATTATCATGTCACACATTCACTTTTTAAATCAGCCGACGATGATGGACAGAGTGCCTCACCTCGGTCTTCGGCGAGAAATATGAGCTCGAGGTGGATGTTTGGATTCCTTTGGAATCGGCACTGTAAGAGCATATTTCCTCTACTTTACTGTACACTTTTTCTGTATTCCGAACGCTACAAAGGGAAGAAAACCTCTATGAACGGTACTCCTTTAAAATTCCTCCACAAATCCTATGAAGCGAACGGGGCTGAAATGAAATGAAATGAATTTAGCTTGGGATATGGTTTGGAGCATTGAAACATTTTTTGGCTGATGTAGCAGGGGAGATCCGGAGGTAAACCTTTTCTGCCTCCTTTCTTCGCTAGCGTGGCTGCGGGTCCTAGGCCCCTTCGGCTGCCACTCTGGCGGGCCGACGGGCTGGGGACCCTAGCAACTAGATAGGATAAGCTTAATTTTTTTCTGGGAGGTGTTGCATTGGTAGTGGAATCAACGACGCGAATAAATTGGCTCCGCTTCTTCTCCACCCTGTTGATGCTTCAATCAGCAACGCCGGGAAGCAGGTAGCCTCTGTATCTCGTCGGACTTTGGTTTTGACGATGTTAGGTTGTGGTGGCTAGTGATTGGCGTCTTCTTGAGCGACAACTTCGGGTAGTGTTGAGTATGCGTGTATCTTGGAGTGTGATGTGCGGATGGCGGTTGGCGGTGACGTTCTTCTTCTTCGATCACTTTGGATGAAGACGACGCCATCAGGATCTGGTAGACTTGAGGATGATCCTCGACCGACGTGCCACAAAGACTCGATTCCATCACCTCCGGCAGGCCGTTTAATTGGTTTACAAAGCAGTGTGGTCTGCAATGGAGTTCTTCTAGATCTTGGTGTGAAGGTTGCTCACGTCTTTCTCCCGTGGTGCCATGGTGGCAGTGGTAATCAATGATGGGGGGGTGGTTAGATTGGACATATGAATCTCCAAGACACCGGGCCCTCTGTTCGTCTCATGAAGTGACCACATATGTATTCATTGTAATTTGTGTGTTTAATAATGAACATATGGTAATTCCTCTAAAATATAGTGGCTGCTTTGGAGTGGCTATGATGCTAACCATGACGATTGGCTGCCAGACGGCTTCATCACACCATCGAATCTGATGGTCAAAGGATAGCCATTCTTCATGTTCCCGGAGTCCCGACCAAGAAACTAAAAGGGAGGCACTACATCTTCACTATGGAGCGTGCGACTAGGTTTCATGGAGACTTCGTCGTGTCGTCCCCGGCGACAACGAGCGGACGAGATTACATCCGTGAGTAAGATGCTAGGGACCTGATTGTGTTTTCCACTAGTTGTTAGGTCCACTATGTAAAATTTGGGGCATGTTTGTTATTTAGGTTTAACTCAGAGTCCTTTTGTAAACCGTCGTGTACCATTGTTTCAATATTAACACAGATTTAGGTCCTACTAGACCTCTCCCTCGTTCAAAAAAGAGTAGCAATTAAAGTGGTATAATGCATTATAATACTGGTCTTGTTGGAAAATGTTGCATGGAAAATAAAAAAATTCTATGCACACACAAGATCTATCCATGGAGATGCATAGCTACGAGAGGGGAAGAGTATCTAAATACCCTTGCAGATCACTAAGCGGAAGCGTCTATCAATGCGGTTGATGTAGTCGTACACTTTCACAATCTGCTCCAATCAAGCACCGAACGTACATCACCTCTGCGTTCAGCACACGTTCAACTCAATGACGTCCTCGCCTTGTTGATCCAGCAAGAGGGACGAAGTAGTAGATGAGTTCTGGCAGCACGACGGCGTGGTGACGGTGGTGGTGAAACTATTTCCGCAGGGCTTCGCCAAGCACAACGGATTTAGAGCGAAAGATGAACTTGAGGGAGGAGATTAGAACCACACTGGGCTTCTAATTATGAGGATTAGAGCTAGCTAGGTCTAGCTC